AGTATCTATTTGCCATTTCATTTATTCTGCTGCTCCTAGTGATCAGCGAATTCATTATCACTGTGCCAGTTTTCAATTATAAAACAGAAGACTAATTTTAAGTTGGTAAACACTTTCATGTTCTTGGGTTTATTCTTCATGGTGATACATATTCTGACCTAACTTGGGACTCTCCTCCTCAGAATGTTGGGTCGTCAACTCAGGAAGGTGGTGCAGTCGCTCCCTTTGAAGAGCGGTGAGCCTCGTGCCCAGCTCGCTCTGTGCCGTGTGGTCTCCGTGCTAGACACGTTGGCTTGCTCTTTAGTCCCAACTACGTTTGGAGGCATCACGGCAGGGTTTTCTCATGAATTCTCAGTAGTGCGAGTTAGAACACGGAGCAGAATGCTGGTTCGGGACAAAGCAAACAAGGACAGTGCCCACTGAGACTTTTGTCTGCATGTGCATCCAGTTCTTGCCCCCTCTGTTGAGCTGGGATTCCCACAGTCCTCCATTCAGTTGAACACCACAATTGTCAGAAGCAGTTTGTAGGGTTTACCTCGTATCTGTTGAATGAGGAAGAGAAATCCAGTGGGAACCTTAGCTTTTCTAGTGGGAAAGTTTCTAGGCTTGAGGAGAGCCCTTCTGGTGTTTCTGTGCACACCACAAGGGGTTACTGTCTTGGTGAAAGGCTCCTGCGTGGGCCAGCCCCTCTGGCTACCATTTGGGCTTCCCTCCGTGCTGCATTAGCAAGGCCTTACTCACAGAATTAGGGGCAGGCCGAGTCTCCTGGCCCCATGTCCTTTGTTCAGGTGGGGGAGGAAGGAAGTCCCCATGTGGTAACCAGAGTCAGAAAATAATTTGGGAAGTTGCTCTCATTCTGTTTGTCTTCACAATTTAGGATTTGGGGGGAAGCTGTGCTTTCTGGGTGGTGAGCAGAGTGAGGGACACAGCCCTGAGAGAAGTTCCCACATTCCTCTTGACCTACTCCTCCTCTTGTATCTGCACGATTACGGGACCCATTGTAGCAAGCCATGGTAGGGAGGAGTAGGTTTGTGTCATTCACGCCAGTAATAGATGATCTCACCATCCTCACAGGTGTAGAGAAAGAAGCCCTGGAGACGGTCTTGACAAGCGTCTTATTTTACGGATGAATCTGAGGTCAGGGAAGGGGACTCGCTCTAAGCCATAGCTAATCTGTTTCTGAACCAGAACCGGGGGCTCCTGGCTCCCAGCCCTGGTCTCTGCTTCACGGCTGTGCTGCCGCTAACCTGCGGGTCTGGCTTCACAAGGAGAGAACTGGCCCTGCTCCTGGGCGGTGTGATCTGGCTCCTCCGAGTGTGAGGTCCTGCCCAGTCCCTGGCCCGGCTGTGCTTGGATTATCTCTGCTCTCATGGTGGCTGTAGATTTTCACAGATGGCAGTTGGAGGGTGTCTCTGCAGCCTCTGCTGCCTCCTGCTGATGAGGCGAAGTATGTGTTTTTCTTTTTAGGCAAGAAAGGCAAATAAACTGTGCCTGGCAAGTGAAGGAAAACTCGGGAAATTGCTAAAGCCTTTTCTGAGCTTTTTTTTTTTTTTTTTTCAGGTTTTGCAAGAGAAGATCGACCCATGGGCATGTAGCTTATTCACTGCTTTTCTCTTTTTTGTGCATCATCATAGATGCTCTGCTTAAATGGTTAGGAGATTGCCCATCATTACTTTAGTGATTCTGGGGCTCTTTATTGCTTAAAACTTCATTAAGAAAAGAAATGCTATCTTTAAAAATAACACCATTCTTTTTAGTCTATAGCTAAAGGCTTTTTTAAAATATGTAGTCCAGAACTAAAGGAAATTACTAAACCACAATTTCATTGCTGGGATGTAGCACAGAACGTATCAGATATAGCCCATTCACGTTCCGAGTGGGAGAAGTGAGACCCAGAGAAGTTTATTAAGTGACTTAACGAAGTTATAGTTACTTAGTCAATACCAGTACAAGTGTTGTGACTTAGTTCAGTTCTGTCCTTTATTTGGAGCTTCCTATGAGCTAAACCTTGTTTTTTTGTAGGTTTTCCATAGGTTATTTCTAATTCCTACCATATTTCTATTTAGTAGATATATACACACACCTCCCCCCCTTTTATGAATATGGAAGTGGAAGCTCAGACAGTACTTTGCCCAGTGAGAGAATGTTCTGGTTAAGTACTTTGTCCAGTGAGACAATGATCTGGCAGCAGTGTAGGACTGGTGTGAATCCCAAGGTCGTGTTTTAACACCATACTTACTGTGTCCCTTAATTATTTCCTTGAAGATTTGCATTATCTTAATTAATTTGTCCTAGGAGTCAAGTCTTTCACTGTGTTCATTGTCAGACATTATAAGCTCAGCTTCTTAAGGAAGGATAACCTAATGGAGTGTAACTGCAGATATTTAAAAAATCTGGTACCTTAAGTTCTTGCTGGGAACACTTTGTTCATCTCAAGTGCTTCCTGGTCACTGGCAACCCCTAGGAACACATTTGAATACCGGATCGCGTTAACTCTTACTTGTGTGGCCTCCCACACAGTGAAACAGCCTGATCTCTGTGAAGGAGCTCAGGTGGAGAAATAGGAGAGCCTTGAGCATGGAATGGAGGTGGAGAGATGGGGACATTTTTACTTGGAGTTTATATTTGATAATGGAAATGCAGTTTCAGTTGGGATAATTTTAAACTGTTTAAATTTTCTCAAAAAATCTTGTCCGTTTGCCCTCCATAGGTTAGAAATCATCACTGTTCCTGTCCATTAATTTCTTATACTTCTCAGAATCTCTCATTATTCGGATATTAAAATTCCCTGTATTATTTCAGTTTGAACAAAGAAGATGCATGGATGTCGGTGAAGAGCATATAGGCCCATTGGATTGTGCTCCTGTCTGGATTATAACCTTATTCTTTATGGAAAGACTCTTTTTAAAGAGTCTTTCTTACTGGTCCTTTGATATTTCAAACATCATTTAAATGTTCTAATTACAGTATAATTGCAAACATTAAATATTATTTTTAAGGTAAGACAAGTGTCTTTCCTTCTCTTACTCTAGTTTTATCTGGTTTACTGTTTGGGTACTTACTAGGCACTTGTCAAGAGCTCATTAAACTTTGTTTGCTGTAGCCATGGTTCATCTTGGTTTCTTCTTGGCTGGTCCCTCTCCCTTCAGGCATGAGACAGTAAGCCCTCTGACTGTAAGCCCCTTGGAGACAGGGGGCTTTCTTTATTGCTGTTGTCAGACACTTCAAACCAGGTACATGACCTATTCCAGGAATTTGACTGATGCTTGGTCAGCGAAGTCATGTAAGAATCCTTCCTAGGGAAAGTTACTTTCGATGAGTATAGGGATTTTCATCCTGTTTAAGAGATGGGTCTTCCTTTTTTCATTTTCCTTTTGAAACCTCTGTCCCCTCATATCCTAATACTGTCATCTGTTAAGGTTGTTTAGCCAGATACAGTAGAAGCATTGGACTCTTGCTGAGAACTTACTAGAATTGGATAATACCATGTATCTTCTCGTCTTTTTCCCCACTTCTGTTGTGAACAAATACCCTAAATGATTTAAAGTGTATGATGACATTGGGGCTCCTGGGTGGCTCTGGTTGTGTCTGATTTCAGCTCAGGTCATGATCTCACGGTTTGTGGGTTCAAGCCCTGTGTTGGGCTCTATGCTGACAGCTCAGAACCTGGAGCCTGCTTTGGATTCTTTGTCTCCCTCTCTCTCTGCCCATCCCCTGCTTGTGCTTTGTCTCTCTCTGTCTCTCAATAAATGTTGAAAAAAAATTTTTTAAGTGTATGGTATTTATTAAATGCTAATATTTATTGAGTGGTAGAATTTCTAATGTACAGGAACACAATGGGGATATTTTAAAAAAATATTTTTGCTTATGGAAAGAATTGAAAGAATTCCTTTCTGGAAATAATTTGAGAAAAACTGGCTTTGTATTTAGGTCACTGCACTTTAAGTTTTGTGGGTCTTGTTTTTGTTGATACTTTGTTTCAGCAGTTTTAGTGGATACTGAGGCTATTTAATCCTCTTTTTTTGCAATATTAAAAATGTATACACATCATTAGACATCATGGAAGTGCCTATCAGTGAGATACACACTTTATACCCAGCAGGGTGACTAAAATTAAAAAGACAGCAAAGTGTAGGCCATGACAAGGGAGTTGGAACCCTTATACACTGCTAGTGGGAATGTGAAATGGTGTGACCACTGAATAAAACAGCAAGCAGTTTGTCAGAAGAGTCACCATATAACCTAACAATTGCACTCCCAGGTATATATCCAAGAAAAATGAAAATGTGTCCACACAGAAACTCATGCCTGAATGTTCATAGCAATATTATTTATAATAGCCAAAAAGTGGAAACAACCCAAATATCCATCAGGTGAATGGCTAAACAAAGGATAGCATAACCAGCAGAACATTATTTGGCAATTAAAGGAAGTACTTAATACATGCTACACACGGATGGACTCTCAAAACATGATGCCAGTTACACAAGACCATTTTGTATGATTCCATTTATGTAAAATGTCCAGAACCAGCAAATGTATGGCGATAGAAAGTAGACTAGTGGTTGCCTAAGGCTGGAGGAGCTGGAAGACATGGAGAATGAGTGCCAGTGGGTATGGTGTTTCTTTTTTCCGTGATAAAAATGTTCTAATTAACATGTGGTGATGGTTGCACATCTGCAAACCATTGAATTGTCCACCTAAAAGGGTGAATTGTATGTAAATTACATCTCAGTAAAGTTGTTATACAAAAGTATATTTATAGATGCATTTGCTTCCATGAGCATAAATTTACCTCCAGAATGATACACGTTGGTTGCTTATGGGAGGGCTCTGGGCTCCTTTGGGGGCCTGGAGCAGGAGGGAGATTTTTACTAAATACCCTTTGTGCCTTGTGATTATGTTACATAATTTACAAGGAAATGTTGAACGTTACTGTTAAATAGTTATGTTGAAAGGTATTAATAACCCATCTCTTCTCTTGATTTTACTCTGACCAGGTCCTTCAGGGGTTAGATTATCTACACAGTAAGTGCAAGATCATTCATACGGACATAAAGCCAGAGAACATCCTGATGTGTGTGGATGATGCATATGTGCGAAGAATGGCAGCTGAGGCCACCGAGTGGCAGAAAGCAGGTGCTCCTCCTCCTTCAGGGTCTGCAGGTGAGGGAGCTGAAGCAGCTTTGTTTCATTTTGTTTGGAGGCACTGAGAGCCTGCAGAGTTGCACACTGAAGGTAGTTGAGTCAAGCATGTACATTAGGGACTTTCATAAGAGCCTGATTGCTAGAAATGATGAGACCTTTTTCTTGAAAAGGAAGGTGCCCCAATTATTATGCTGTCATACACCTAACTTCGTCTTCCCTTAAAAGATCATATGAAATCTTACGTGCTGCTTCACCTATGCTTGAACGTTTTCTTACGCTGCAGGCTTCTCTGCAGAGGCGTATATAGTAATGGGTTACTTGTAGCCGGCCTGTAGTCATCAGATTTTTTTTCTAGTTTCAGGTTTGTTAGAACGCTTCCCAGTCTCCAGTTAGTCTACATCAACCTGAGTCCAGCTGGTAGCTTTGGAGTGCGTTACAAAAGACCCTAGGGTGGGAGAAGACCAAATGTCTTTATTGGCCTGTAGAGTTTCACATCGGGTTTTTACAGGGTATAGTGGCTGCAGCAAAGTGTTGACTACTTTGACCATGTCTGCACATTGTCTGCACCCTAGTGTGTTGGCAAGCAAGCGTGCTGGCTGAGGGGCTAAAGTCCTGCAGCTCCCGGGGCTCTGGGAGATGCACCACCTCCTACTCTTGTTTTTTACTGTTTTTTGAGATCACAGAACCATAGTCTGTCAAGCTGTGGCTGCTCGCAGAGGCTGGTCATGCGATTTCTGGAATACTTGCTGCAGTTTTTTATTTATTTCAGCTGTATACACTTGCCAAATAGTTGTCAAACACAGATGTACATCCTCTTATCTAAATTGTTCATTTCATTGTAGAACAAATTTAGATGATGGTGTGACATTTGTGAACTCTTCTCCATTTTCGTATCAGTGCTTTGGATTTTAAATAAATGGGTATTTAATTTTAGACAAATAAGAAAAATGGCTCCATATGAACAATGACTGCTGTGCCTTTTAAGAGCCAGTCATTCGTTTGAGTTGGAAAAACTTCCTTTAGATCTGTATGATTAAGAAGCACTGAGGTTAAACAGTTTTCCAGCTGGATAGCAATTAAAAGACAATAATTACTTTTCGTTTTACAATTCAGATAACCTACCTAAAGATATATGTCTGTTTTCCTCTAAACATTCATTTTGTTTCATTTTGTTTTAGTGAGTACGGCTCCACAGCAAAAACCTGTAAGTACTTTATTCCACACACACTTCTACTCACCTTCTTGTTAAAAGCAGCTGTTCCTTATTGAGCTTTTCAAGTTGTAACATTAGTTTCTGCTGCTTTTTGCAACGATTTTTTCATTTAAGGTTGTTTGAGAATCGGATCGTACCTTTCTTTGTTCCCTTCTCAACTGTAGGTGTTTAATACGTGTTAATGTAAAGGGCGGGCATGTTCACAAATGCTGTGTATCCTTGAGTAGATGAGACGTACCGCTTTGACAAGTCGAAGGGATTTTTTAGAGTTGGGATAGTTAGAGCCCTTCCACGTTTGATCTTTATTTTCCCTGAGCACTTTCTGGGGTCCGTTGGCAGAGTCTGGTGAAAGGGGTGACGCGGTCGAGATCAGGCTTGAAGTGTGATTATTACAGAAACACTTAACATTACTTCTGATTTGCCTCCAAGATCCCTGTTTTTCTGAAGCTTGTACTCTAATGTGTTTTCCAGCTGGTAGTTATGTATAAAAGAGTACTGTGTATTTTGTGGTCCATTCAAATGAAATGAGGTGCTTGGAATTCGGTCTTACCCCATTGTCCCTAAACCCGCTTAGTTCCAGTAGAGGATAGAGTGTATATGTCTTGAGTTGATGAGTCATGTGCAAGTCTTGAAAGCACTTTACGAACCAGAAGCACTTGAAAGGAAATGCGCTGCCAGGAGCCCTCACTTGGGAGTGGAAGTCCCAGTGCAGGCGGGAACTATAGTGATGATGCCACCTGGCTCGCTGCACGGCCCGGTCCCTGCCTGCAGCCCTCCTGTGGCTCGAGCAGCTTGTTTCGATTATTGACTCCGTGGAGAGACTGGAGGCTGTCGTTGCCAGCACTTTCCAAGTCATGTGGCCCTGATCGCAGGCAGACTGAAACTGTGGCTTTTTCTTTTTTTCCCTTTACTTCGTACGCTCGTTTTTGACAGTTTCTGCCATCTCGGCTGTTGATAACAACAGCTCCGTGTGTGAGACCCAAACACAAACAGAGCTGTTGACCAACAGTGACTGAAACCCACTTGTTTTGGCAAGGTCTTCTTTCATGGCTGAGAGTTGGGCGAGACCGGAAGGACAGGGGATGTTGTTAGCTTGTATACGGGCAGCAGCCAGTAAAACTTGGAAGGGGTGCTACTTGTCGAAAGGCCAGAGTACCTCAGCGTATTCTTCTGTGCTCAGCGTTTAAATGAAACAGCCTTCCTGGATTGGAGCCGTGTCCTCTGAGGTCAGGGCCTGCTGGCAGTCCCCTTCCATGATGGTAGGCAGCGCTGGTTTCTTTTTTCCGGTTTTACTGCGATCCTACACACGAGATTGATCTCCTCTGTGGGCATATTTGGTTGTAATAAATAACTCAGGCCTGGAAAACAGGATTGGTTGGGGCTTGCCACGCCACTCACACTTGCACTCTTGTGTAGTGCTTTAAAAAGAAGCAAACTGACCTGTGGTGTTTTCTTAACATGTTGTAGATAGGAAAAATATCTAAGAACAAAAAGAAAAAACTGAAAAAGAAGCAGAAAAGGCAGGCTGAGTTGCTGGAAAAGCGCCTGCAGGAAATAGAAGAATTGGAGCGAGAAGCGGAAAGGAAAATCATAGAAGAAAACATCTCATCCGCTGTACCTTCCAATGAACAAGACGAGGAGTACCGCCCAGAGGGGAAGCTCAAAACTGCTGGCTTAGAGGACGCAGCCGAGGGCGAGCCTGTGAATGACAAGGGTCAGTCTGCATGGGGTCCTGGCACTTCATTAGTGGGCACCCACCAGGTCCCCACCCTGGTGGGCTTGGTGTCACTGCTTCATATGTGAGGATTGGGGAACATGGGAATCTGTCTGCCACTTCATTTGTAAAATGAATGCCAGAAATACGTTAGTATTTCAAAACACTTTTTTAAAAATGGAAAATGTCTACCTGACACCACATCTCGAGCATGCTAATGAATGTTCTTTATTTTGTAATTAACTTTTACCCTAACAGTAATGTACCCACATTTTCTAAAGATTGTAGAAGTGAGGGTAGAAGTGGAAATAGTCCCTTTTCCCGCCCCAAAATCTAACTTCTTCTAATAAGAGTAAGCCAGTTATTTACTAAATGAAAAATAAGATTGAGAAAACCTAAGATTTTACCTTGAGAGCCAAGAGGTGTTTTGCTGTGTAGTATGTAAATTAAGCACATTCAGGGGTGCCTGGCTGGCTCGGTCGGCAGAGCATGTGACTCTTTTTTTTTTTTTTCTTTTAATGTTTTATCTATTTTTCAGAGAAAGACGGAATGTGAGTGGGGAAGGGGCAGAGAGAGGGAGACACAGAATCCAAAGCAGGCCCCAGGCTCTGAGCTGTTAGCACAGAGCCTGACGTGGGGCTTGAACTCATGAACCGTGAGATCATGACCTGAGCTCAAGTCAGACGCTCAACCAACTGAGCCACCCAGGTGCCCAGAGCATGCGACTCTTGATCCTCAGGGTCACAAGTTTGAGCCCCACGGTGGGTGTAGAGCTTACTCAACGGGGGAACAAAAACCTAAACACATTCAAAATAGTCTCTTGTTGGAGGAAATATGTACCTAGTGCCACTGTGTTGAGAAGAGTAACATGTTCTGATTCTCAACCCATCAACTTTTTAAGGTGAGGCTGAGGACCAGGAAGAGAAAGAAGACACTGAGAAAGAAAACACTGAGAAAGATGGAGATGATGTGGAACCAGAACTGACGAGCACAGACCCTGCGTGGATAGAGTCCCCCAGAACCAACGGCCATATTGAGAATGGCCCGTTCTTACTGGAGCAGCAGCTGGATGATGAAGATGACGATGAAGAAGATTGTCCCAATCCTGAGGAATATAACCTTGATGAGCCAAATGCAGAAAGTGATTACACATATAGCAGCTCCTATGAACAATTCAATGGTGAATTGCCAAATGGACGACATAAAATTCCCGAGTCACAGTTTCCAGAGTTTTCCACATCCTTGTTCTCTGGGCCTCTAGAACCTGTGGCTTGTGGTTCTGCACTTTCCGAGGGATCCCCGCTTACCGAGCCTGAGGAAAGCAGTCCATCCCATGACAGAAGCCGGACGGTTTCAGCCTCCAGCACTGGAGATTTGCCAAAAAGTAAGTGTCCCTCCCCACCAAGTGTGTCCTTTCAGTGGCCCGAGTATCCGAGCCTTGACAAATGCTGTGAAGCGAATGGGCCAGAGGTGGGCATGTCATGTATGTATGAATTCCCCATTGTCGCTTTATTCCTTTTGTCCTCCTGAATAAGTAATGTGATTTAAATTGTCTTCTGTCCCAGCAGGGCTTTCTCTGGCTCTCTGACTATCAGATTCCATTTCTGAGCTTTTCTCGTTCTTTCTGTGTTTAGTTAGTGACATCTGCATTTGTAGAAACCTTCCATATCCAGCAGCTTACACCTGTGGCTTTTACAGAATATATAGTTTAATATTTGTACTTCCATCTGACAGTCTTGCTTTTGGTTTTTGTTTTGTCTTGTTTCTATTCAAGGAAAACACATACCTCCTCTTAGTCTGTGTTAAGGAAGAAGTCTCTGATTTTATTCTGATAGTTGTTTCTGGTTGTAGGACTCAGCTCTTGAAATGTCAAAGCCAATTTAAAGCAAGTGGCATGGAATTTTATGTGATGACTTATATCAAGTATTTTGAGAGTGAGTGCCCCACAGCCTGTCTCTGCCTGTGACCTGCTCAGGGACTCCAGTAAGCAAACCCGGGGCATCACTCACGGTTTCCATTCTAGCCCGCGGAAGAGCAGCTCAGAATCCTCCTCTGCTCCCTCTGCTGGCAAGAGTGTTTAACACACGATGAGTCCATTGATGACCCAGCCCTGCAAGTAGCTCTCAGAATCCCCTCAAGTAGCTCTAACTAATCACCTTAAGGATGTGGGTTCTATTTTGTGCTTTCTTTATCTTATTTGGGTAAACATACTCTGTTCCTTTTTACTTTTACCCCGATCAAGGACTCTTTGAAGGTGCTTATAAGATACCTTCACATGGAAGGTAGGTTCGCATAGGGAAAACTCACCTGTGTCTGTCTCCTTCACGCTACTTCTGACACCTTTGGTGACCAAATGTGTGTGTAGGGGGTTTTCCCTGCCCCAAAAGCTTCTCTGACACCAGCTGGGTGTCCTGCGATTTAACTCATTTCTGACACTCTATGGAGACAGAACCAGATCCTACAGGTTAAGGGCTCAATCCCACCAGACACCCCCGCCCCCCTTCATACACCAGTGGCAAGTCCACATTGTCACCTGTGCTTCTGACCCATCAGCCATGAATCCGAGGTTCCCACGACCCCCTCCTCAGGTTCAGTTAATTTGTTCCAGCAGCTCACAGAACATAGGAAACTCTTTTTCTGGCTGGATCACTGGTTTATTATAAATGGATAGAGAACTCCGGAGCGGCCAGATAGAGAAGATGCTTCCAGAAGGTGGGCTTTGGTGCTCCTCCCTGGCACGCCGCCTGCCCCACAGTCTCTCGCACGTGCCTTCACATCGTGCATTCATGGGTTCCTTTGCTCTTAATTACCGCTTTGGGTTATGTCTTGTAATCATTCACAGCTTCTTGTTTCCTGATGCTGGAATTGTCCTCAGTTTGGTCCACATGAGCCTCTTCGAATGGTCTCTTCTGTCCTTTTATCACAATCCCATTGCTCTTTGTTGCTTCCTCTCTTTCTGGAACCACGTCCCGAGTTCATACCTTCCCTGCCCCAGGCTGGAGTCAACCATGTCTTCCGGGAGTTTGTGTTATTAGTTTTTGTTTACCTTTTGTCATGTATGTAATGTAGGAACAGAGATATGTGCCATTGATGAATAGGTGTCTACTGAGATGAACGTTCAGACACTTTTTATTGAAGGAGTAAACCATGAAAAGGTTTTGCAGTTGTTAAGTATAGCGTAGCTACTTCCCGGTTTATTTTCAAGACCTGACGAAGAGCTTCTGTGTGTAAATGGCATGTTCGCTCTTACTTCTGTACCTTTGCGTCTGCCTTTCTTCCTGCTGGGAGTGTCTCTTCCCCTTTCTACACTGCCCATTCTCTCGGCCAACTTTTATTCTTTTGCCGGCTGGTACAAACGCTAACCCTGCATCGCTTCCCACGCGGTCCTGTTCCCTTCCCCCCTTTACCTACCGGTCATGCTTTACTTAACTGCATGCTCACTGTTTCCATCATCTTTTCCTCGCCATGATGTAAAATCATTGGGAGCGCTGTGTGCTTTTATCCTTGTGTCCTTTGCATCTAACTCAGTGCTGTGATAAACATTTATTGAGTAACAAGCAATCAAATCAGTGATAATCTGGGTATTTTTCCTTCTCCTCTTACCTTTGTGCCACCTGTCTCCATTCACCATCAAAACTGTATTCAGTCCCAGCACCAGTTCTCTTGTACGAACATTTCGCATTGGGGAGAAATAGCAGGTCTATTTTTCACTTTGACCCAAGTCTCTCACCAAGCAGACCTTTTCAGTATTGTGAAATTCTAGGTACGCAGCAGGGTCAGGATCTCCTTACCCACTCATTTGTTTGGAGGCACTCAGTTTTGGTTTCTAGCTTGGTCGTTTGGTAACGGTGGGCCGCCTCCTGGACGGGAGGGGTTCATTTCCTGCATGGAAGGAGTGGGGCCCAGAGGCTCGTAGTTGGCCATCTACCACTGCGTGAACACAAGGCAAGAGAAACGAGCCATGTTCAGAGCTGGTGTAGATCCTTGTCGTTAGACCAGGGCACACACATTAGGAAGTAGCAGAAGGAAAAGTCAGGCCAGAAGAACTCACCCTCCAGGCTGAAGGATGCAGACTATTCCCTGGAGTGACTGGGGAGCCACTAAAGGCTGAGGAGGCGGGATTCCTCTGGGGTTATTAGCTTTGGAGCCATAGCATGTATCTTGGCCCATCCCATCTGGTCTTGCTGGCTTTACCTGCAAGGTACTCACTGCCACTTGGTGGGGACCCAGATCACTGCCAGACCTTGTGCCAGCTGCTGTAATATGGGCCCCGCTCTGCCCTCGCTGTGACTCTTGCTGCCTAGCCTGTCCTCCTTAGGGCACACCCTGTCCTCTTCCCTCCCTTTCCCTCCAGAAGGACCTGCAGTGCATTTCCACTCAGAATAACAGTGCGGGGCGTCACTCTAAAGCCTGCAAGCTCTCTGCAGGCCATTTCCTGGCAGCTCTCTCTGGCCTTGTCTCCCCGCCCCCCCCCCCACCTTGCTGATTCTGTACCCCCGTGCTGGCTTCTTCCTTAAGTTTCTCAAAAGTGCAAGTTTGGGGGCGCCTGGGTGGTGCAGTCGGTTAAGCGTCCAACTTCAGCCAGGTCACGATCTCGCGGTCCGTGAGTTCGAGCCCTGCATCGGGCTCTGGGCTGATGGCTTGGAGCCTGGAGCCTGTTTCCGATTCTGTGTCTCCCTCTCTCTCTGCCCCTCCCCCGTTCATGCTGTGTCTCTCTCTGTCCCAAAAATAAATAAACGTTGAAAAAAAAAAAAAAGTGCAAGTTTGTTTCTCCCTCTTTGCACTTTGCATTTGCACTTGCTGTCTTCTCTGTTGAGGGCCCCTCTCTCTCCACGCCTCCCTTAGTTCAGGCCTCTCCTCAGAGTCACCTTCTGAGAAAAGACCTCCCCTGAACACCCTCATCATTGTCCACCTCCTTTCTTTGCTGTGTTTTTCTTCTTTGCATTTAGAGCCACCTGACATGGTGTGTGACTCCTTCATTTTTACTTTATTATCCATATTCCCCATCTCCCCACCGCCCCCCCAGTGCATGAGTTTCCTAACTTGGGCTGTGGAGGGGGGACCCTCCATGCCTTGTTCATGCTGGTCCCAGTGCCGAGACAGCACACAGAAGGGACTCTGTAAATACTCAGTGAATGAACGGGCCAGGCTCACGTATTAGATCTTCCGGGGCCTGGTGTTGAACCTCTGGGTGCAGAGAAGGTATTCGTGTGTTTATTGGAGGGACGCCTCAAACCATAGAGAGTCTGCACGAGCCTAGCACAGTGCCTTGCACGTAAGTGATGATGGCGGTCTCGTCCCTTGGAGGCACCACCCGCAGCTATCTTACTAGTTTCTAGGATAGCTTCACATGGAATGAGTAGTGTCGCTCGGACCCCGGGCCACCGGAGACGAGTTAAGAGCCCTGTCCTTCGTGAAGTGACATATCCCCACTTTTCATTCCCTCGTTGGAAGAGGCAGAGCATTAGGAAGAGCTGTGAGAGGTGACCATAATAATGACTCAGCGAGCCGAGATGATTTGAGTCCCAGGCAAAGCAGAGTTGGTGTTAGTCCCTGGCAAGTGCCTCTTGTTGAAATGGGCTGTTTTGAGGGTTGCGGTCAGGTAATTATCACACTGAGTAAAGGAAGTCGGATATACCAAGTAGATTGTCTTTTACCTCGTTTGTGTTCCTGTACAGTTCAAGTTCTGAGATGAACACCCTGGTATCATTTGGGATGCACTGTGAGCGGGGTCACCGTTTACAGACCTGAACCAGGAGGGTAACAGCCTGTCACCAAAGAGACTTTGTTTAGTGATCAAAAATGAGGGGTGTTAAATACAAAGAAACCGTATTAAACATGTGTGATGATGCGTCTTTTCAGGCCAGATCTCCTCTGGCTTCAGCTCCCGGGGAATGTCTTTAGGACACTGGTGGCACTTCCAGATGCCTCCCTACACTCGCACCCTCAGGCACTGGGCACCGCTTACTCTCAGTCAGTCAGAACTGGAGGCTCACCCTCTTCTTCCTTAGACCTTTGATCTCAAGTGTTTGGCCTCCGCTCCCCCTCTGCCTGCTCTCTGCTGGTAGAGCTTTGATTCTGGCCAGAGGCAGCCCCAGCCTGGGGCGGGGAGTGTAGTCTGGCTGGTCCCAGCACCGGTGGAGCCCCCCCCGTCCCCCATCCCCGCTCTCCCAGGCCACTGGGTTGGCTGGTCAGTTTGGAGGGGGGTGTGGCATGGCCCCTTCCGCTTCTTTCTTGAGCACTGAGCCTCATGGAGTTAGGTCACTTTCCAGAGTCTCACAACTTTGTTGGTATTGAAACGTCCACTTGAATCCAGTTCTGTAAACCTCGAATTCCATTTTCTTGCCTGCTGAGTCTCCTTGATTGAGTGACGTGAGGGATTCATCTGGCCGTTTCTGGTGCTGCCTGTCTGTCCACTGGGTCAGTGTTTTTGTTTCTCCTGAAGCTCTGTTTCTTCCCATCCTTCAATCACTGTATCCAGTTTGCCTCCTCGTGTGGGTCTCTGTGCTTCTTTCCTTCTCGTCGTTTCCGAGTTCCTGTGTTTGTTCTGCCAGCTCAGACTGCCTTTGGCAAAGTCCACAGTGGATCGGCATCCTTAAAAAGAGGAATGTGGTCATAGGGCAGATAGCAAAAGGGGACATGTGAGGCTGGCCCACCCACATTAACCCACAAGCCGAAGGAGTGGGGCTTGGGGCTAAGATGTTGGCCAGAGCTCTCTCTGCATCCTCTGGCCCCTCCTGGGGAGTTCTGTAGGTGCCCCCGCTCCTGGGAGGGATGCCCAGAAATCAGAGCCCCCTGAGCACTGTGGCTCCACGGTGTGGGTGTACCCAAAAGGAGGTTTGGTTTGTTTTAGCAGTGCCCAGCTCTGAGCGGATGAAAGGGTATTTGATGTTCTGCATTGAGTGGACTTTTCTGTTTAGTCTGTAAATACCATCTCAGAATTACTTCTCCATTAGTAAGAACCATGGTTACATCTCATCCCTTCCAGAAATTGGAGCTTATAAGTCATTTTAAGGTTTGAGGAAGATGCTCAGTCACTTCAGGATTTCCTGTCTGGGCCTCTCCAAGTTAGTTTTCTTTGTCACTTGCCCCCTGGTTAACCCTGTCCAATATGGGCATGATGTAGGCTTGTCCATAAAGCTCTTCTGGCCCCAGGAACCCTGAGAAGTCTAGCCCTGTGTCCACTGTTGAGATTCTTTCGGGGTCACTGGGCTTAAGTGTGGCCTGAGTATTTGGTAAGTTTGGGAGGGACCTCAGCGGTTTGCCCTGTGGCCCAGGTGGCCTCAGGAGACCTTTGTTGTGGAGCGTTACTTGTCCAAAGCTAAACCCAAACTGATTAGTCCTGGCCTGTAATCTGTATTTGTTAACCAGCCATCATCTAACCTTTGAGGTCTCTGTGCTCAGCCCAAGCAGGAGAGGTAGGAGATGTGGCTACCAGGTGAAGTGCGTGTCACCTAGAAAGGGATTGGCCATCTGGGAACATGTTGTCTCTACTTTAGTGTTTCATGTAGTAACGCACCAAGATAGATGTGGTTCTCTATGGGCTCTGATGCAATGAGGAGCAGCTGGAAAGATGCAGAAGGGAGCAGAGTAGGGTCATCCTAGAGGTGGCGGAATCAGCAATATAAGGGGAAAGGGCAAGGTGGAGCCGGTGAGGTCTCTGGGCAGCCCAGTGTGCTCTCTCTTGTGAAATATCTTCCGGGGATGGAGACCAAGAATTTCAAATTCTGTTGAGTTCAACTTGCAGGGCTCCAGGCCTAAATGTGATCCTCCCATCACTTCCCTAGAAAAGGAGACTGTGCCCGGCAGACACTGTGTGCACAGACGCAAGCCACCCCTCCCAAGTACTAACTGTCTCGCTCTTTGCTCATGCCAGCAAAAACCCGGGCGGCCGACTTGTTGGTGAACCCCCTGGATCCACGGAACGCAGATAAAATTAGAGTTAAAATTGCCGACCTGGGAAATGCTTGTTGGGTGGTAAGTAAAGTTTTCTTTCTAGAGCGTTTTGGTCATGATCATGGATTAGAAGACGCTTTTTTTTTTTTCTTTTTGCATGTCTGTTTTCCTCTGTACTAATACAGTGTGTTCCCTTCCAGCATAAACACTTCACAGAAGACATCCAGACGCGTCAGTATAGATCCATAGAGGTTTTAATAGGGGCAGGTTACAGCACACCTGCTGACATTTGGAGCACAGCATGCATGGTAAGAACGGCCTTGGCCATTTCCTTCAATGTAAAGGCCCATCCCGCAGCGCTTATCATGGGACAGTCTCACCAGTACATGTGGTCTGAGTTTTCCCGACTGCGGAGTACGTCTGCTGTGGGATGAGTGAGGGCAAGGTTGCTGTCTTGAGCGCCTTGAGAGTTGGAAGAATTCTTCTCAGACGTGTTCTAGGGTTTAGCCTGCTTTGGTCTTGTGACAGACGACCTCTACTCAAGGCCCTCTTCAGCCCACCACCCCCAGGAATCACAGCCTCCTCTGTGGTGGCAAAATGGCTTCAAGTAATTCTGTCTGGTTTCTGAAAGATTGCGGGCTGTACCCTTCCCTCGTGCCGTGGAGGAGGATGAGACAGCAGTGTCTTCAGGAAAGATTGTCTGAGGTCGAAAGGCGGGAGCCCTTCTCAGTGACCTCTGACAGACCTTCTATCCTTACTGACAAGGAAAAGGATTTCCCCACACACCAGTGTTTAATCTCTCCTCCTTTATATATAAGGCCAAATCTAGAGAATATTCTGGCTTGTTGCTGTGGGCTGTCCACTGATTTCTGAGACACCAGTAGCCGCCCATCGTCCCTTTGATGGAGTCTGTTCCCATAGAGAAGACGGAGATGTTTTCTCTCGGGGTCTCAGGACACCTCTCCCCGCTGTGTATCATACTGGTTTGGGCTGCATCGCGGGTTTACTTGTGTCTAGACCCTCCCCCGGCCCTCACCAGCGCATCATTTTCTCACTTGCTGCCGACCTGTGAATTGATGAGCCACCGGTGGGCCCTCTTCCATAAGCCGATTTCAGTTTCTCTTTCTTGGCCCTGTTTCCTAGCCAGTTCAGCACCTTCCTCTAAGTGGGTTGTGCTTTGTGGTCCCGTGCTGGAAGGGTGTGTGTGTGTGTGTGTGTGTGTGTGTGTGTGTGTATGGAAAAGGGGGTGCTATTTCATGTTTTTCTTATTCCATCCCCCCCCCCAAATTCTCTGATATATTTAAAATGAAAGACTGTATGTGTAAAGCTTGGCACTTTTCTTCTCACTAAAAAGAGCAACAGGCAATATATGTAATTGTCTGTTATTCAAAGATTAACAATTCTTCTGAGTTTGCTGTATCATATGCCCCCTGGTGCTACAGCAAGAAGCATGGTGCTGGACAATATGGAAAAATAGTAGTTGTTTGTGTAAAATTATCAAGATCTGAGGCAACAGATGTGGCCAAACAGATTGGAAACATCGTGCCTTTCTGGTCCCACGTTGCTCTGACAAATAATACCAGATAATTTTTAAAATTAAGTTTTTCAGTGAGTATCAAAAACTTCAGTCTTTGCTGTGTGAGACATGGAAAAGAACAGTTAAAAAGATTGGTGGGCATGTGATGGCTGCTTTGAATTTGGAGGCTGCTGTGCAGAGAGGAGTGAGGTCCAGAGGGCAGGAGGGGGCGGAGGGCCCGGACGCGGTGGGAAGCAGAGGTTAGGTCAGTAGGAAGGGAGCACTTTCAAAAATTGGAGCTTCGGGGGAGAAATGTTCCATTCCAGGATGTGGTGAGGTCAGGCCTTACTTGTCCCCAGCAACACAGGAGGGGCCCTGAATTAGACTCCAAGAGCTCTTTCAACTCTGAAATCCTGTGCTTCTAATTTGGGGTGTTAAATTTTGGTGATATAACCGGAAAAATAGGACAAGATCACAGAGGCAGGAGAATAATGGTGGAGCTCAGTGCGATTTTATACCAGGTTGTCTGTCTTGCCTTCCATTAGATTAGGACTCGCCCCTCCACACAGTCTTCACACCCTGGCCACTCCTGCTGCTGTGAACAGTGCTAGAGTCCATCTCCTTTCTCCTGCCTCCTGCTCCCCTCAGACGAAGCATAAGCTCCCTCGGTGCCTCAAAGGCCGCTTACGGGTTGTTGTTGTTTTAATGAGGCAGATGTTGGAAGCGTGATTGTTCTGGATGGGGGGCAAGCCATCGTTCCCCATCCCCACCTCCCATCCCTGAAGGCCAAGGCTGAGAGGTCCCCTTCTGTTCTTTCAGACAACCTGGTAAACATGAGGCGGTGTTTCTCCACTCCTGTCCTTTTGTCGAAGTTTAGAAACATAATATTATATTAAATTCATAATTCCAGTCTATACTAAAGCTCTAGTTGTTCTTGGTGGTGAGGCCTGGAGTCCTTTGATGGCATAAATGGCATGAAGACTTGCAGAGGCCCTACTGGGGTCGTGAGCTCCTGCGTGTCAGCTGATGTCTTTGCTCTCATCGTGGAGGAGGGCTCTTAGAGCCGGAGGAGAGCACCAGAATGAGGCAGAGAAACTGAGATATGTGTCCCGTTGAACCTCTTTTCCTTTTCTTGAGTCTTGGGGCCCCTCCCAACATAAGTGTATGTGATCTAAAAATTCTGCGTGGGCCGAGGCATCGATTGCTATGCGCTTGTGTGTCACAGGCCCAGAGCAGGTAACGTCTACAGGCTCCGTGGTGAGCCATAGTCAGTGCCCTAGAAATAAGAAAAGGCAGACTGGCAAAGTTCACTTGTTCAGCACTGGTCCCATCACAGAAAGAATAGGTGACCTTATTTATTCAGAATCGGGTACTTGGTGTGGGGGGGAGGGCATTTCAAGAAAGAGGTGTCTGGTCTCCCCAGGACCTGAGAACAGAGTTTGCTCCAGGGGAACGTCTCCCAAGGGGGTCTGGTCAAGTACAGACGAAGGCATCCAAGATTCCCAAGCATGAAAACAGTAACAATAGAGATTATATCAGGAGTAACCTACGGAGTTGAAGGCAGTAATCTTTAACCGGCGTGAAGGCAGGTCGTGAAGCATGAGGGCCCAATTTCCATCGGAATTTCTGCATCAGCTCTGTCACATGTGGCCTTCCTGTTAAGGAAGTCTTGTCACTCCCCAGAGAACTGGGACCAGATGACACACACGTGAGCCCCCATCTTCCCTCACATCTTCCTTTTCTCTTTTAAACCATTTCTTTGTAGGCTTCTTTGACTTGAGTGTTTCATTGGAAACACGTGGGTGCTAATCGAAACAGTCGTCTTTCAAAGAACACTCAGTTGACCTACCTTAGTGTTAGGCTGTAAGAAATAAATTCAACCTGATTGAAATGTGTTTGAAAATGTGTGAGGAGAGAGAGTTCTCAGGGGAGGGTTAAGGAGCAGCCGTGGCCCTCTCCACAGAGCATTCGCAGTGGCTTCTTCTCCATTAGGGTTTCACCCTTTCCTCATGGCTTGTAGGCTGCTTAGTTGTGTCCTGGGCGGGGAAGACCCTTCTGGCTGTTCAATTTTCCCCTTGGATTTGTGGCCAGATGTGGGGTTGTGTGGAGAGGAGAGGCCCCCGGTAAGGACTTTCCCTGGCCCTGCAGCGCCTGCGTGACCAGCTTACTCGGTGCTGGGACGGGCTGGGATGGGCATGTCCGTGTCCTGTGGGATCCTGAGTTCATGCACCGATGCTGTCATGGGGCTGCTGACAACCATCTTGTCACCCCACTGCCCTCCTTTCTTTAAATAAACAAACAAACAAACCAAAAAAATGGTGAAGAGATGTGGTCCTGGCCTGAGTGCGTCCACCTTCGGTTTGTTAAAGACAGTGCTAGGAGACCCCCTCCTGACCCACTCTGGTCATGAACAGAAAGAGGAAATGGGTGGATGCGGTGATGGTTCATCAGGGGTGGGAGTGAGGAGGGCCCTGATCTGCAGGCATCTGTGACAGAGGTCTAGGCCCCTGAGCACCTTTCAGAACCACAAGATCTAATACAAAATAGAAGTAAGTATAGAAAAACCAAAAATAGGATTTAGCCTTTTCCTTTAAAAAACAACAAAAAAAATTTTTAAACGTGGTATTCCATCAGCAGAGCAATAGCAGTTGCCATCTTTCTATAACATTAGCAAATTAAACCTGTGGTCCTGAGCTTTTTTTTGTTCTTTTTTTTTTTTTTTTTAGAACAAGGGGAGAAGAGTGTGTGGCAGAAATGGAAACAAAGGGCATGCTGGGGGTAGTGGTAGCCCTAGAGGCAGGCCGGCCCTCCTTGGCCTCCTCACCTGGCTCCTCCTGGCCCAGGGCTCAGAGCCTTCTGTTTGGCTCGAGGTTTTCCTTTGCTTGAGTCAGAAGTGGCAGAATTGATGAGATGCTGAAAATAGCTCCTGGTTACCAAGGCACGAGGGTCTTTGCTTCAAGAGAGCGGCAGTGCCCGCTTTCCCGGGACCCGATGAGCCTGCGTGGGGGAGGGCAGGCCTGAGTCCCTGTCCCACCGTCCAGAGCTGGAGCACGTTCCCCTCCCCCCGGGCCTGCACACAGCTGCTTGTCGCTGTGCTTCTCGCAAAATGAGGAGAGGACACAGCCTTTACGTCCTCCAGTAAAGGGAATATAGGAAAATTTCTGAAGCTTCTTTGAACTTTTAGGAAGTTCAGAGTTGAAAGAAAAAAGTTGGTGTTGAGCTCTTTTAGAAGGCTCGTGGGTTTGATCAGGTCCTCGGAAAACGTGGGTCTCTTGTATAAGGAGAGAAAGTTGCTGCCTCGGGGGCCAGTGTCTTTGAAGTGCTTAGCATGTCATCTGTTGTGTCCTAGGCATTTGAGCTGGCAACGGGAGATTATTTGTTTGAACCGCATTCTGGGGAAGACTATTCCAGGGATGAAGGTGAGTATTGCCGCCTGCCAGATACCTCAGGCTGGGCCTCCTGAGAGGCCTGAGCTTCTGGAGAGTATTGTGTTTCCCTACCGAAATAGAGCTGTGTTTTGGTTTTCAAACGCCCAGTCGAGATGCTTTCCCCTGAGCTTGAAGCCCCCTCAGGCACAGTGGACAGGCAGCTCTGCCCGTGGCCTGGGGCCACCTCTCCTTCCTGCTGGCCTCGGCCTGGCGCTCAGCAGCCAGGGAAGGACAGGCTGTGCGACCCCCGAGGCTTCTCTGTGGTCCTTTTGTCCACCGATCTGCCCATTTCACTGTCCTGTCAGGGAGCTGAGCTGAAAACCTGGGAATTCTGGCCTGAATTCCATCCGTAAAGCTGACCATCTCCATGCTTATTTGCTTACAGTGCTGGGGTGGCCAGGGGTGAGCTGGCGTCAGTCACCGTCCGATGTTCCAGATGGTGCCTGAGGCCTGCCAGCCCCAGAAGCCTCTGCATGGATGTGCTGCAGACATTGTTGATTTGAGTCTATTTCTGATTTTTTACTAATTTCAATTTTTTTCCCTCTTCTTTTATCCCATCCTTCCCTTTGCCCCTCCCATTCCCATGTCCTGTTTTTCTCTCCTCCATAGACCACATAGCCCACATCATAGAGCTGCTAGGCAGTATCCCAAGGCACTTTGCTCTATCTGGAAAATATTCTCGGGAATTCTTCAATCGCAGAGGTAGTACCTCTTCTTTTTGAAAAGCGCCACGATGCAGACAGAAACGGGATAGCACCACTGATTGTAGCGCGAATGATGGCAGACATTTCTCCTAAATTCGAAAGGCAACCTAGCGAAATTCCTGTGCTGATTTAAAAGTTGACAGGGAAGACCGCACTTGACCTTGCCACGGTCCCCCTGTGCATCCGGCGGCACCGGCAGAGCCTGTGCTTGGATCATACAGGTCGCGCTCTGTTTCTGTCTGCGCGGGCGGTAGCAGTGTCTGCATGCAGTGTACTGATTAAACTGTCGTGTGTTTCTGTTTTGCTGGCAATGTTTCCCAATGCAGATCACATAGCATTGATCATTGAACTGCTGGGGAAAGTCCCTCGAAAATACGCTATGTTGGGAAAATATTCCAAGGAGTTTTTCACCAGAAAAGGTAACGGTATTTATGCAACACTAATTTTCAGCATAATCCTCTCCCAAAAGGAGAAATTGTGCATTCACGTTTGGGCAGTGGAGAAAGACCTGGACCTTGTTACAGCTGGGGGATTCAGCTGAAGAAAGCTCTCGAGAAATAAGCTTGAACCATCTCCCATCTGTGGAGTACGGATTTTGTAAGAGTACCACTTCCCGGAACCCTCGGTCTCCTCCCCGCCCTCTCCTCTCCTAATCTAAGCCCAGTCTGTGTATTCACAGATTTGTGAAAAGGAGTTTAAGTGGTTTTTAGAAACCAACTAGACTTCTCTTTCCATTTCTCATGTTGTTCGTGGAGCCTGAATGTTTTTGCCGTGGAGTAGAGGCAGCCTGGGGACAGGACTTTGTGAGCGTCCCTCTGTGTCCTGCTGGGTGTGTCTGAGCTCCTTATGACGTGGGCGCGGGCTGCTGAGACCCTCTGCCCCCTGCTCTGAGAAATGATGTTCTCTTCTCCCCTGCACTATTCACGTTGTGTTAATAGCTGATTTACTTTAGTAAAAAGGCGCCAGGAATTTATTTCTAAAGAACCCCTTCCCGGCGCCATATTGTTTTGTGTGAGCATGTTGGACCTCTTAATTATGTTTTTCCAGCTTGAATTTTTTTTGGCAGTGAGAGGGAGCAGTTGCACCCCCTTTAATAAAGAACTTTTAAAGTTGGTTTGAGTAGGATGTGGAGTTTCTAGAAATTTCTGAAAGTCCAACATGCTCTATCGCTTTCTGCTTTAGTCAGATTTGGAGAACTGGCTTTGACTTTTTATTTTCCTATGAGATAAGGTATTCTTCTAGAGTCATAAATCCTTATTATACCCTTTGGTGATGTCCAGCCACCCAGTCCTTGTTCCCTCCTTTAAATTACGCATCCCCGTTAAATGCGCAAGACTCGAGAACGTGCTGTGCCGAAGCCAGCAGTTTCTTGTTCCACTTACTCTGAGCACAGTGACCACTGCTCCCGGCTTTCCTAGGACCACCCCATGGGCAACCTCTGAAATGTGTAGCTAGATGCAGTTATTTTCTTACTACCTTTTAGAGGCTTATCACAGGGAAAAAAGATGGTCAGGAAAAACTGCTCTTCAGACAACCTGTGTCGATTTTGGTTCTGAAGACCCACCTGGACTTTGAGTCTGGGTCTCATGAGCAAGGTTATGGTTCCCCTCACACATGGGCCCAAGTAGGCTTGAGGCTAATAGAATGGCTTTGCCACTGAGTTCTGTTCTGTGACAGCATGGTGTGAGGCTGGGCACGTCCTGTCATGTCATCTCTGCACCTTCCATTTCCTACGCAGCACGTGGCACCCTAGTAGCTCATGTCACGTTTGCTGAGGCAGAGTTTTAAACAGGAAAGGAACTGCTCTAAACACGACGGACTTCTAGACGGCAGTATTGCTGAGAGAGCGGGCTAAGTTTCCGTAGGAAACTTCTTAAAAATGGTTGAAGGGCTGAAGCAAGGGAAGGCTCTGGATTACTGTGGCTTGGGATTCAGCGTGACTTGAGAAACTCTGTTTTAATCAAGGCAGAGCCCTTCTTCCACATTTCAGAGTGTTTTCACAGCCTGTGAGAGACGGCCTGGCCCCTGGGAGGACTTGGCTGGACTTGCAGTGAACCCCCCAGCCGCAGCCATCACCACTGTCAGGTGGAGGCTTGGAGGGGAGGGTGGCCAAGAGCTAGCAGCCTAGTCTGTCATGAAGTAGGGGACATGGCTGACCTGCTGATGCTCTAGGGAGGGGACGGGCACTGGAGGGCGCTGGACCTTACTCAGCACCTGCTCTGTCAGCCAAACAGAGAATCCGCCACAGGCTGACGGACAGGTTCCAGCATCAGGCACAGAGGACCAACAGCCAGTAAAGCCACACGGAGTTTTTCCTCTGCAGTGAGGAGCTTCTCAGAAGGCCTGGGCTCTGCAGTTTTCCCGGCGCAGCGTCTGTGGGTTGGGAACCGCTTACTATCTATGCACAGCGGGGAGGAAGAGGGACACACACTGCAGGAGGGGACCTGAATGCTGAAGAGGTGAAGTCCTGCTTGTCCAGTGGCCTGGGATCAGGTTCGTTCCCAGAGGCAGTGCTCTGAGGCTCTTGGCGCCAGTTGGGCGTGGCTCCCAGGGATGGCACCTGCTGGGTACCAGCCCCGAAGCCCCTCCTCACCCCATCGGCAGGTGCTGTCTTGGGGTGGGGGGAGGGGTGGGCTGACCAGTGATGCTGGTGAACTGATGTCGCATAGCAGGTGGCTCTGCTCAGAGCTCCCTGCGCGTAGCCCTTCAGGCCGGAAGGCGGCGTTCCTGTCAGCCTTCCTGTCAGCAGCCCTGCTCCTGGGGCCACTCGGAGTCTGTGCGTGACCACTGCCTGCTCCCCGACGGGGGTACGGAGTGCTTACCTGGGACTGTGCTGCCACAGCGTCCCGTTATTACTGCACATGCGCTTTAGGGCCTGCATGCACGGGCTCCGCCAGGGAGCTTGTTGGAAGGTGACCAGGGTCGAAATACATTTGGCCTCCTTAGTAAAGACAGACCAGATGCATTGTGATTCAGTGTTACTGTGGTAACTAGGGTCCTTTCCCCTTCATTTGGATATGAGGGAGAATTTTTGACTAGGCAAGTGATTGGGAATTGGGACCCAAGTCCTTTCCTGATCATTGTTTATTTATAATAAGTGGAGATCAGAAGGGATTTAGGGCTTTTACAGAAGTCACAGAAATAATATTTTGATGAATGAGGGTGTGTCATGAAAATAGATTTTACCATGTCCCCCAGGATGAGAGGAATGATTTGTTACATAAAAGATGGGTTTTGGCATGCCCCCCTAAGGAATGTGTGCGGATATACAGTTTGGAAGTAAGGAGATCTTAAACGTATCCGTTAACATTTTTTAAGTGCCTGCATGCCAGAACTGACCAAGAGAAAAGCAAAATCAGAAGCTGTTGTTAATTTGCTTGCATCCCCTTGGAAAATAGCCAACGATTGAGAGGGAGTGAGCAGCACCCTACCCTGCTCTTTGTCCTCCTGCGGGAGACCCAGGCCACATCTTCACCCTGATGCCTGTGAGGAAGAGCATGGGGTCTGTGTGTTAAAGCGAAACACCAAGCGCAGCTAAGTGACCTTTTCTTAATGTGCAACTCTGGGTAAAATGATTGTTACTAGTCTGAACAGTCATTCCTTAGCTGGGAATTTTCCACGCGAGCTGGATGTTTTGGCAAAGGAAGGTAGTTACTGTTCTCATCCTGTTACAGTTTGATAACCAGCAGGTTAACTCCTCTGGGTGTGGACATTAGCCACCAAATGTCTTTCACAAAAATCCTCTTCACCAGTGTATGAAGATGTGCCCCACTAGAAGTAAGCACCTCTGTGCATTCTGCCCTGCTTCTGTCCTGTTAGGGTCCGAGGTGTGTGTGTCCCCCACCCCCCCCCCCAAATTCACGTGTGGGAATCCTAACCCCTAAAAGTGTTAGTATTAGGAGGTGGGGGCCTTTGGAGAGAACATAAGGCCATGAGGGTAGAGCCCTCCTGGTTGGGATTAGTGCCCTTACAGAACAGATCCCAGACCACTCCCTTACCCCATGCAGAGGACACGAGAGGGTCTGTGACCCGGAAGGGGGCCCTCGTTGGGACCCAGCCCTGCTGGCAGCCGGATCTCAGACTGCCAGCCTCCACGACTGTGGGGAATAAATTCATTCTTATTTATAAGCCACTCATTTTGGTTGTATTTTGTGATAGCAACCGGGATGGAGTGCAACTTGTCCCCAGGAAGTGTCCCAGTGCTTGTCAGGTGATGTAGCAAAAACAGTGCAGGCAGGAGTGCACCGTCCCACACTGCTGAACAGACGTTCTGTCGACACATGAGTGGCCATCGTTTTAGTAAAACATACTGTTGGAAATATCAGAGTAGTTAATTTAAAAAAAAAAAACGGTTTGATTCTAGGGAAGGGCATCACGTGGACTGGAACATGTGAGAGTGATCTGTTGTGTGTTGGACCAGAGACCTTAAGTGCAGTTCAAAGCATGCAAGAAGCCTGTGCAGACAGGGCACCCGGGTGGCTCAGTCAGTGAAGCATCCAACTCCAGGTTTCAGCTCAGGTCATGGTCTCATTTTGTTTGTGGGATTGAGCCCCACACTGATGAGCCTACTTGGGTTTCTCTCCTTCTCTCTGCCCTTCCCCTGCTCATGCTCTCTCTCTCTCTCAAAATAAATGAACTTAAAAAAAAAAAAAAAAGAAAACAAGAAAGCCCGTGCAGAGCATTTGCAGTGCAATGCCGACACGCCCCCTGTGATAGGGCTTTGTTCTGCAGTCTTCGTTTTTAGTGTTTGAGATGAAACTTGTTAGAACGATTTCAACTCCCCTCCAGAATCCCCCACGTCAACAGATTCTCTTACTTGTGTGAAGAGCGAAGCCCGCCGTAGGCTTTGGGCCCGTGTAGGCTGGTGCTGTCCCGTTCATCATCTAGGCCTCAGGTGGCGAAACCCGTTGGTCACCGCAGTTTGCTGACTGCACAGGCAGGTGGCAGGTGCCAGGCTTGGGCACGAGGCCACCTTGGGGATGCGTGGGGCTGATCTCCCCATGAGCCGGGCCCTGTGCAAATGACTAGAAAAGGTTCTTCACACTAGTGAGTCTAAAACTTTTAAAACGTGTACTTTAATACACGTTTTAATACAGTTTCACTTTAAGCATCACTTCTGAGTTGTGAGCACCCTCTGTGAGATCAGGACCCCGGTCTGTCTTGTTTGGTGCGGGATTCCCCACAGCCCGGTGCCCAGTAGTCACAGAAAACAACCTCAGACTAGAAACATGAACCTGTGTTGAGTCCTCCTTTCTGGAGAGCGAGAAGCAGGTGACACTGTGTCCCCCTTGGCCCAGGACGGCCCTCATGGCACCCGCACGCCCGCACACATGGCCCTGTTTGAAGGCTTGCATGTGGTCTAAGGCCCTCCCCTGCTAGGGTTGGGGTGCAAGACGGGAGGGTACGGTAGGGATGGTGC